TTTTTCCCCCCTCAGTGGCGAGGTAATTTCCTGAACCCCCCCCCCCCCCCCAGAAGCTTCTGTCCTGCATCAACCCTGCCATGGGTGAGAACGTTGGCTCCCCCATCGCAGACGGCGTGCAGATAGTGGGCTACGCCTCGCGCGACGAGCTCATGAGCGTACGCGTGACCTCGGACTCCAAGCGTGTGTTCGCGGCGCTGTGCGAGAACGAGCGCGGGCGCTTCATCAAGCTGTCAGACGGACGCGCCAAGCTGCACGTCCCCGGCGAGGGCATCTCGCTAATGCGCGATGCCCTGGTCGGCCTAGAGACCGCGCTGGAGTCCCACCCGCCCGCAAGGGCCGACGAAACGCACAGCCCGCTCGACCCCCCACATGTCGACGTGCACCCCGCGTCCGCGGAAAGACCGGACGATACCAAGTCGGATTTGGTCGAGACGCGCAAGTTTGTCAGCGAGGGTCGCAAGTTCTACTTGGATGTTCTCGAGAACGTCCGCGGTCGCTATGTCAAGATCACACAGAGCTCCATCCGTCGCATCACCATGATCATGCCTATCAATGCCCTTTCCTTGCTGCGAGAGGGCATCGACATGCTTCTGGAGAAGGCCCCGCCGGATACGACTTTCACAGACCCTTCCTCGATTCATCGCGTCACGCGCACAATGGAGAGAGTAATGCCGATGAAGGATGGTGCTTCCGTCACTCTAGCCGTTGTTCGACGAGAGATCCGTCTCCCAGGCAAACGGCTTGTGTTCGAATCTGGAACAAATCGTAGGGGAAGCTACCTTAGAATCACAGAGAGCAATGCATCTCAGAGAATGACGGTCACGCTTCCGCACTCCACTGTCCCTGAGGTTATCAAATTGCTTGAGGAGGTTGTGGCTGCAGGGGATCCGGCAGAAGCCATGAAAATGGACGATTGAACCCCGCTGCCCTGATCTCTCACGGGCGCTATTAACTACTAGAGGTCCCTATGTGCATGCATTCTATCGTGCTGGCCATTCACATGCAAGAAATCCAAAACATCTAAACAAAACATATAAAATCTCCGACAGCACGTCTGTCTGCTGTCACTTGTGGAAATCTTTTTACCGTAAAAGGCCATGCATCACCCATCCGATATCAATCATTCTTTCTTCTACTGAAGCGATGCGTAAGCAGGCACGTTCAGAGTCTTGATACTGTACAACGGGTCAGTCTGACTCGGAACACCTTTCCCTTCCAGTAAATGTGTCGTTAGCCCGTGGAGACCCCTGACGCTTTCAAGTTCTTTCCTCCGCCTTCGTACTGTGTTGTGCAAGCGACTCGCTACTTCTCTTCCACTCTCGTCCATGATCAACGTTGCCAAGTGCGCATCTATCAAATGCGAGCTCCATTCAATGCAACCTTCTATGCCTGACTTGCACAAATGTCTTCCTCTCTTATCATCGTTGTCCATCCAATTGCCTATGCCTCTGTAGCTGGCTATCTCCTGCCTGTTGAACTGCGCAAACGGTTTGGAGACACCGCTAACACGCTTCGCCCCGGATGGGGGGTCATCCTTCGCGTTCTTGTCGACCCCTGTGCCGTTCAGAATGTGGTCCAGTCGACTCAAAATCCCGATAACATCTAATATCGGAATCTGTCTCAGAGAAGCAATCACTCGTCCTCTGTCAACCGCACTGGAGACACACTTCAGTAGCAGCTTTGTCATTCTTGACAGTTTCTCAACCTTTCGGCTCCCATCATCTGAATCTGGAATCGTGCTCGCACTACCAAACTCCAAGAACTCAGCTTGAGTAGACCGCACGGCATATTGTACTGTCCGAACAACATCAGGTTCGGGCAAGTCAGCTACGCGTGTCACCACTGCTTCCAAAGCGTTGGCGTACAGGTCCGATTTCAGCAAAGGGTCTACTATTGAAAGTAAAGTCAATGCTTGTCCTTCGTCAGCGCCAACCCAAGAGTCTGAAGTCCCAAGTACAGCAAGCACGGCTTCGCTGGACACTACCCCTGTCCCAATCATGTCGATGAGACTTACTGCGAACGCAGGATTCCCGAGATGAATCTCGTACAGACAACGTGCGACAGTTGCAGCAGCTAGCCGTTCACTCGGCAGCTCAGATAGTCCCAAGTTGCTTCTTTTCCCGCGGTTTCCTCTCCTTATTCTCTTGTGGGCAACCGTAAAACGCTTCGTAAGCTTGAGGATAGATTCTGGAGAATTCGTTTCCAATCTGTTTAGCACTTGGTTCGCGAGTTGCAGTTCTTGCGTGTCAAGAGACTCGAGCTTCTTCCGGAAGAGTTGGGAAGCATTGCCTTCCGCCTCTGCGGCAAGCTTTGTAACTGATACAGTTACTGGTTGTGCACGCATCGGCACGAAATCGGGCGCTCTGTACAATTCTGTTTCTATAAAGTCACAGGTTCCCTTCCGCGAAACTGCAAGCCCGAGGGAAAACGAAATACTTTGCTCAGCCTCGGCAACGGAAAGTTCTTGCATACCCGAGGCACACCCTATCATGATATTTGTCTGACGGCGACTTGGACAAAGGAAATGTATGCTTCCATCCGTTTCGACGAGGCCATGCCCAATGTGATAGGCCCAATCCCAAATCGATACGCATCTTCCGTATCCGATTGCGAAGTAGTTCGAATCTAGCCTTACTAGATTACTCACGTGATTGTTTTTTGGTTGCATTGGTGATAGGGCAGACGACGCTTCATCTTCCGTAATACTGGATGACAACCGAAAAACGCGCTCCAACAGCGACATGACAGGGTCAGAACTTGTGGTATCACGGCCCTCGTACCAGGCGGCAAGCCTTTCGCTCTTGCTTGTGCTTTGGAAAGTACTTGATAGAGGGCGTAACAGATGCACAATTCCATCAGTGTATAGGATAACCATGTACAAATCATCGCATAAAACGTCTACAATGGAGCCCCCTTGTGAACCGCCTCGTGGCAAATGTGATTTCTGTGCTGGCGGAAGCTGAATTGGAGCGTATCGTTGCAGAGACATTTCAGCAAAGCTCTTCCCTCCCCTCACAAATACAGGAAAGACGACTACTTTCGACTTCATGGTTCCTGCAATAAAGATACATCCGTCTTCAGAACGGGAAACGGCAATGACAGTGTCAACTAGAAGCGAGTCAAGCGTCCTACTCTCGATTTCTCCATCATGACCAGTTGCACAAAGCAGAGCTAGTTCACCGGTGGACGAAACCACAACTATTACGTCCCCATCGTCTTCTGCAGCAACACCAGGAACAACCAAGATTGAAAAAACTGTATTGTTCAATTGCAACAACCTTCCGTTTTCATGCACGAGTTTCTCTCTTCTTTCATCAGACACTTGCAATGTTACATATCTTCGTCTGTCCTTGAGTACCGCAAAAACCAGCCCTTTTCGAGAGTCAAAGACTGCGCATGAAGTCAACTTCGCGCCACCTGCCTCCTCCCATTCACGTATAGGTCTGCCTAAAACTGTACCTTCACCCTCCTGTGTCCACTTCGATACGCTTACAACGTTCGTGCCGCTGGAAGACTGGTTCACGCTCACAACATACTCTCCAGAACATTGTGCGGAACGAATGCGCTTTCGTTTTGAAACTTGATGGAGAGACAGGTCCATCGCAACAAGAACACAGGTATGAAGGCAATACTCTCGATGGAAAGAGTCCTCCTTGTGGACAAAGCTGCACTCTCCCACACTGTCCCAAAAGTCAAAGACTTTCCAAGCTCATAGGAGACCCCCTTTTGCTAGAGGTGATGCGTAGCGTCGTCCGTTGCACAGCTACCGGTGGTTTGGTGCTCGTAGCTTGGTATGATACGGTATTCTAGTCGGATCTTTCTATTGACATGCTCAAAACAATTGGTGTTGACGGAAAATATGGCTAAAAATTATCAAAATACCTAAATGTAATATGTTCACGTACGCCGCCGCCGCCGCCGCACTGTCGTGTGCAATTTGATCCATGTGGCCAGGACACACGAACGGCTCGTGTACTTAATACAGTTCCTATTTCTGTTGACAGAGCCTAACACCCGCGAGCATGACCCTAACGCTTTTGTGAGCGGGCGCACACCAGATGACTTCGACCGTTTCAGAACGCAGCATGGGTCTAGAGGGAGGATGAAGACATCCCTTGGCACCATTTGTTTACATATGAGAGGTAAGTGTCCGACAATCATTCGGCGTCATGCTCGTACATCCAAGGAGGACAAAATCAGACCTGTACCGAAGCTGGTGTTAACTCAACACTTGTGGAATAATTCTGCAATTCTGAGTGATGGAATTGAGCGAAACTGCAAGCGCTATGCCCTTCTATGAGTGTATGACTAACTCGTTCATTCATCACTTTTGCTCCTCGTATGACCTCAGACTCCTGACCGGTTAGCGTCAAATTCTGTAACACAATCGAGCGCTCACGGCATGGGAGCAGCTTGCGAAAGAGGGGGATTGGGAACGACGGCATTTTTGTGCAGCCGCTGCTTTGTAAAATATTAGAGGGGTAGTCGGTCCACCCGCTTTTTAGATTAAATAGTAAGGAGTATTGTAAGTCAGCCGGTGCTGCATCCAGGCTTCGATGGATGTCATGTTATCGAATCTGCGACTTTGTTGTCACCTGCCGGATACAGGGTTGCCGGATACAGGGTTACCAGTGTTGCCCTGCAGAACGAGCTCTTGATTTGCTGCGCTGCAAAATGGCGTTCACTGCGTCCACGTCACGATCTTTGATAGCAGTTGATGCCCGTCCGATGCCCATCGATGGCTTGACTGAGCAATGCTCCTTGCGGAGGCCAAGTCGCTCTATATGTCGTAGCATCACTCCCCGACAGACATTTGCCCCACATTGTAGAGACCTCAATGGCGTATGTGAACAGCCTCACTGTAATGTGTGATTAAACACCACAGGTTTTAATTGATCATTTAACACCCGACTGGTCGCAGTACTGTAATCGTTTGGCTTCCGAATCGGCTAAGAGGATCAATCGCGCCGCTCGGTTTCCCGCCGAATAGCGTCGGAGACTGCAAGCCTTTGAGCCTTGCCACAACGGTATTCACGAAACAATTGCGTGCGTCTCTGCTGGGCTTGCCACCAGTTCTCCGCGAATCAGGGTAAGCTCATTCTGTCTACAGCCGAAAGCTGGAAGTTGTGCTACGGGGGGATTCGGCTCGAAAAAAAAAAAAAAAATCCTGTCGTAATTTCCTGAGCGCCCTAATTTTCATTCAAGAGACGTTAGGCAAGCTAAGCACTGCTTGGTGCTTCACTCGACCTGCATTGTAATAATATAGTAGTGAACAATCGCATCCGAAATGAGTTCCAAGTCGTTGCCAACTGCGCATGTGAAGTCTGATGAAGTCAACTATTTAGTCTTTCGCTACCTCCAGGAATCTGGTAAGTTGTCACCGCTCCATCTTTCCAAAGACACCCTTTAGGTTTCCATTGGCATGATACACGCCGAAGCGCTGGAAGAGTCCCTAGAGGAATGAACCAGCAGAGATTCTGAAGGTCTCGCTCGCAAACAGGCGAACTAACTAACTGGATGTCTGTCTATGCGATGTCAAACAACGTCCATGAAACTATTTTCTTCTCAATGAAGGCTACGTCCATGCAGCGTTCACGTTCGGATATGAGAGCCAAGTTGTGAAGAGTAAAATTGACGGCTCCCAAATACCACCCGGCGCGTTGTTGTCCTTTGTACAGAGAGGAGTCAATTTTTGTGAAATCGAAGAGACTCTCAAGCAAGACGGCAAGGCCGGGCCTGGGCACACAACTTCAGCCCTTAATGGGGTTACCTCTCTTTTGGATGTGCATAGATGTCTTTGTAATCAGGATTTCAAGATTAATCGCCCGGAGAAGCCGGCAAGTACCGGGAACGGTACAACTGGTCCCGTTGGAATGGACGTTGATGAGAAGGAGGTCTTGAGCCATGAAGAAAAACCGGGAGAGCGGAACAAGACGAGCACGGTCGACGTGCAGGAATCAGAAGCCCTCATACTCAAGGGCCATATATCAGAGGTATTCGTGTGCTCCTGGAATCCGGCAACGTCGGTTTTAGCGACTGGTTCCGGAGATTCAACGGCGCGTATGTGGCCAATTCCTGCAAGTCTACCGCTCGTGTCATCGGCCGCGGCGGCGCAAGCCTCACAACCCATAGTTCTGGAACATGCAACTGACAGAAACGGAAACGCCATGCTTCCCATGCGGAAAGTCAATGATGTCACGACCATTGATTGGAACCCATCTGGGACTTTGTTAGCGACGGGTTCGTACGATGGCTGCGCTCGTATCTGGACAGAGCACGGTACTCTAAAGCACGTATTGGAAACCCATACCGGCCCGCTTTTCTCTCTAAAGTGGAACAAGAAAGGAAACTATCTGCTATCGGGTTCTGTCGATCACTCTACCGCAGTTTGGAATGCAGAGACAGGACGCTGCGTGAAACAGTTTTCATTCCACGAAGCTCCAACTCTTGACGTCGATTGGAAAGACGATGAGACCTTTGCCTCATGCTCTACGGACAAAATGATCTATTTATGCTCGTTAGAGTCCAATGTACCAGTTCAAAGATACTGCGGTCACGAAGATGAGGTCAATTGCTTGAAGTTCGACCCATCCGGAAGTTTGCTGGCATCGTGTTCGGATGACTACACTGCAAAAATCTGGAGTACCAAGACGGCTCAAGTCGTTTATAACTTGCGAGAGCACACCAGGGAGGTATATACTATGCAATGGTGCCCCAGCGTGAATAGGAGACTTGTTCTGGCGACGGCATCATTTGATTCTATGGTGAAGCTATGGGATGTGAACACCGGGCGATGCTTGAAAACTTTGGCTGGACATTCAGACCCTGTATATTCATTGGCATACAGTCCAAATGGCCAGTTTCTAGCGAGCGGTTCATTTGATCGTTGCTTAAATATCTGGAGTGTGAAGGACGGCACTCTTGTGAAGAAGTTCCGAGGGGATGGAGGGATTTTTGAAGTTGCGTGGAATCCGGCCGGCGACAAAGTATCAGCTGCATTTAGCAGTAACACCGTCGTTGTTATTGATCTGCGGAAAATGCAAGCAAGCACTGTGAAGTTGTAATCTCGAAGATGTAAAGCAACACCCCTTTTTCGGTTTTCGTCCCCGTGGACTGACGCGAAGAGCTTTACTAGGTTATCTTCTGGGTACGAATGTTGCCCAGACAAGTCCTCTTTGTGTCCGCAAGCAGCCGCCAGTTAGCATGGAACATTACCTGCCCGCGCTTTTCCCTCTGCCCATATTATTCCCCTGTATTCCGTAAGTTGTTTGTACATATTTCACTTCCTGCATAATACTTTCAAAAAGCCCAATAGCCCCGCAGGTCGACCCGAAGCGTGTTCCATAGGTGCTCGCAACAAAGAATAAATAAACCGTATTGGGGCAAGCAGTGGGTGCGCAACGACCGGTGGGACGGCTGTAGTCCAGGTCGTCGTCAAGAAACCGTTGACGACGATGTCTCCTCGGGACGTGTGCGGATTATACAACCCACCGCCTTTCACCATGCCCACGCTAATTACTCTGTCCATCGTACCATTTGCCACAGTGAGAAAATCGCCAGGACGTGCCGTCGCTGCCGCCGCAGCAATCCCGTTTAGATAAAGGTAGTGGCCACTTGTAAGTGACAAGGACCCCCTAGACGATGTCTCCAGGCGCACGAAAGTAGCGGAAACCTGCCTATCGCGATGGCTGAAAAAATAAACATCGGAGTAATGATCATTCGTTGACGACATTACCTTGTCACCAAGCCCCAGGTCAGCCATTCGCCTTGCTTTGCCATCCTCAAGCTGCACAAGGGCATCGCCTGGGAAGCATTCCCTTGGATTATCATCTGTGGTCCCCGCCGTTTGACCAGGACTAGGACTAAGTTGACCATCAATGCTTCCTGCACTCTCAGCGTCTTCGTTTGTGGGGTCTGCGCTTCCATCACCTTCACTGCTGGCCCCTCCATTTCCTTCCTCAAGGTCTGTCGCCGAAGTGCTCGGGACCGGGGATGGGAACTCAAGAGTGTCGTCCACGCTAGCTCTGAAGAGACAGAAGTCTGCAAAATGCTCGTACGTTACATACATGTACCCGGGCTCTACTTCGATGCCGGTAACGTCGTCGCGTTGAGCAGCAGCGTTTGGAGGCTTGTACAGAAACCAACTGACGGCGCTTGCATTGAAAGCCCACTCCCCGCATATGCGCGGGGCGGTTTCCACGCCGGCGAAGAACTCGAGGTCCTGTTCGGTGACGAGGGAAGGGAGCTGAAGGCCCGCTGAGAGTAAGGTCGGCCCGTCTGCTAATGCCTTGCCGCCGGGGCCGTTGCACAGGAAGCCGCTGGCTGTCATCGACCGTGCCGGTATGTATTTGCCGTCCTCGGAAATGCCTTTGATGTCGACGCTGGCGGGACATGCTGAGCGGCGACCTTGGATCAGATCGTAGCTGCGGATGAGAGAGGAGGCGGAGATAGATGCGACGTGGGTGCATTGTGCAAAAATAATGATTAGTGCGACGGAGAGACGCGAGGCGGTGAGGAAGGACATGCTGCGGGTGGCGACCCAGTTAAAGAGTAGTTTTGCTTTGGCTGGTGAGATTCGAAAAGTGCTCTCGAGCGTTTCTCAAGGGCAGGCGTCAATTGGGCCCCTGTTGTTGAGGATGTGCCTCGTGAAAGCTGAGTGGAAAAGGGATACGCAATGCTGCAACGCGGAAAGATGATTAAGACGAGATTGGAAAATTGGGTAGAGCAGATAGATTCGAAGGGAAGAATTACGAACAGGGGAGGCGATGGGAGGGTGCACAAGCGAGCTCGGCGAATGTGGACCGATAGGTGCTAGAGCGTGGGGGCATGGTCAAACACGACAGTTTGGCTGGAAGGATGGTGCAGGGGATAGGGGTAGCGCTACTGGTGCAAAAGTGCAGCAAGCAGTGCTAAATAGGAGGGGAGACAGGGCGGCGTCGAAGTCAAAGAGGTCTGCGGTGGAGATTTGGAGTGATGAATCAGCCGATGTGAAAAGTATGGTACGGCTACCAATTTGGGTAATGGAGGTCTCGAGATATGCGTGTCACATGCCTGCGAGACGAGGGGTTTGTGGAATAAATTCACGTGGATGGTGTGTTAAAATAGGACTTTTAAAATTTTGCAGAAATGGCGTGTATCTTATGTACTACAAGGGTACTGTACATACAATGTACAGAGGGGGTCGCTCAATAGTGCCTACTTTAGTAGTGCTTCCCTCTATATAGTGTTATGGCTCACCCTCTGGCACAGGTTATCATAAGCTCACACGTGTATCATCCGGCATGGTTCAGTACTCAAAGGATGAAGTTATTTAGTTGTGTTATACAGGCTTTGTTGTGTTTATGTTAGCAGTGTGCTTTGTCCCCAAATATATGTATTTGAGCCTCCTTTATATAGTGCCATTCCCCCAATAGTGCCATAGCTAGGGGTATGTCACGCTATAGCACTATATCGTAGGAGGCACTGTAGTGGAGTTCCTCGACTTTGCGTTCATGGTCACTCCGGTCTGTCGGAAAGTTTCTTTGGCCTCCACTTGAGGCCGTCCCGCGCCTCATGGATCAAAATCTTGACACTGTACAGCACTGCACATGGACACATGCGGTAACCTTACACTGTGCTTAATTGTGCTGTATTAATTGTTAACATATTGTACTGTACCCGAATACTGTAAGTCTCCCTAGATTACAGTACTGCACAGCCTCCTCATATGCGGCTAGTGTCTAGTGTCTAGGTGACAAATGGCCTCATATGAGGCCAGTTTTTAGGCGGGCTTTTGCAATTCGAATAATTGTAGAAATTTATCGCTACTGTAGTGAAAAGCTTACGATTAGAGTATTAAACGTTGGCAAACCAGAAAACATTCAATTCCGTATCTCAGTCTTCCCTACTCAACACTTTCATCTTCCTCTTCCCAAAATTTCTTCAAAATGGTGAGCGTCAATGATCCTCGAATTATTGCAGGTAACCGCGTCCACACTCGTGCAAGACTGCTCACAGCTCAGAGTAAATGTCGTCGCATGTATGGAGCCTCTTGGAAGATCAAGTTGGTCACGGGAACTGTCATTAGCATGAAAACTGACAAAGTGAAGGGTCGCAGTGTCACTTCAGTCAGGGCTAAATGGGAATTATCAGATGGCGTCAAGGAAGTCACGCTTCGCATAGCTAACATCAAGGCTGGTGAAGTGATGGACCTGATCGATGACGGTCCTGAAGATCATATCCAGCAAGAAACTGAGCATTATGCGCAACCGGAGCCTACAGAGGACCGCGTGACGCCACTGGAAGGAGCACTCAGCCCGAGTACGAGAATCTCCGAGAGTGACGAAATGGATTCCCAAGATGGCCTCATGAATGTCCACGGCCGGGCCTGGAAGCGTGAGGAAGTCACGATGCATTTAAATGGTATGATACCGCCGAGAAGATGGAAGGTGATCGGACCGATTGATGAGATTATATCCCGTGGTCACAGTCCATCTCAAATGCATCCCATGGACTACTTCATGTGGATGTTCCCACAGGAGCACTTGGCATTAATGGTTTCCTACACCAACGATGCAATAGAATCAAGGGGACTTCGCTTGACTACAAGAGGTAAAATTTTGAAGTTTTTCGGGGTGCTAATCCTTATGACTCGGATTGAATTCAGCACCAGAAGGTCTCTTTGGAGCTCACAGGAAACCAGCAAATATCTCCCGCAACCTCAATTCGGAAACATCATCTCCCGCGGAAGATTCGAGGAGCTTCGTCAGAATGTCACGTTCAGCTTTCCAGCTGACTCAAATGACAGATGGGGTATGATCAGGGACTTCATGGTCGCAATCAATGATCACAGAGCATCACATGTCATTCCATCACAGACCATCTGCGTTGATGAGAGTATGTCACGCTGGTATGGACTTGGAGGAGATTGGATTGAAACCGGTCTTCCTCATTATGTGGCCATGGACCGAAAACCCGAGAATGGCTGTGAGTTGAAGACTGCTGCATGTGGAAAAAGTGGAATCATAATACGAATTGAGAACGTCGTCTCAGCTGAGGAGACTTCTTTAAAGGATTTTGAAAGTGACCACTTACACGGAACCGCAGTGACTTTGAGGTTGTTACAGCCATGGTTTCACACCAATCGTGTTGTCTGCGCGGATTCGTACTTTGCTTCTGTCCACACGGCTGAATCACTTTATGAGAAAGGTCTTAGATTCACAGGTGTAGTGAAGACATCTACCAAGAAATATCCGATGAAATATCTATCTCATCTGGAGATTGCTGAAAAGGGAGAGCACGTCACACTAGTTTCGAAGCCGGTGGCCGGGCCTCATCTCATGGCAGTGATGTGGGTGGACCGAGACCGCAGATACTTTATTAGTTCTGTCGGAACATCCAACGAAGGAACTCCAATCTACCGCGAGAGATGGCGTACACGTCATGGCGTGACAAGAAAAGAGGAATTGTCTATCCGTATTCCCTCAGTCTGTGAGCAGTATTATGAAACTTGCTCTCAGATTGACCGCCACAACAGATCTCGTCAGGATGATCTCGGCTTGGAAAAGAAGTTCGAAGTCAAGGAGTGGTCTATGCGTGTCAACACTTCTTTATTGGCCATTTGCATTGTGGATGCATGGGAACTGTATGCAGGTGCAAAAGGAGATGGTTCTAAGATGTCTCCAAATCAGTTTTATTGTGAGCTTGCTGACCAGTTGATTGATAACAAGTATGATCGTATATCGTTACGTCAGCGAGAATCAGACAGTGCTGTTGAAGATGAAGATGTTGGGTTTGGCAGTGGAATTGGTACTCACCTAACTCCAACCACTCGCAAGCGTAAAAGCGCATCCAGCGAGGAGACTTGTGCTCTTTATCAATCCAGATGCAATATTTGCAAAGGTACAAAAAAGTCAAAGTTTATTTGCTCAGCCCGCAAAGCATATTTTGACAAAGAAGTATACCTTTGTCATCACCAGACTGGGCGTGACTGTTTTAAGAAACACGTCGACGAACGTCACGATCTTACTTACAAAGGTAAGTACTATTAGTGCTTAAAGCGTTCTAGGCCTTTAAAACTGACTAAATGGGTCAGCATTTGAGTAAAATAGAGCAAAAAGAGATAAAAAACTCCTTTTGCCCCCTATGGTTCTATCCTGCGTCTAAAGACTTGCTTGGAAGACCTGCAGCCGTGTCGGAATGCCCCTTTATGAGATGTCACCGTATTCAATCTCATGTTCGAGTGGGCGCTATAAAGCGTCCTGGGCTGCAGGTCACGAACAAGAACCATCGAGATCCCCGAAGGGATTTTTCGACCACTAAAGTGCTCAGCGAGGAGTTGAACCCCGGCCTCTAAGACTCAGCGATCCTTGCAGACCACTGAGCTGGCTTGTCAGTTACTAACTAGTCGTTTATAGTTGTCTTTATAGTCGTTCAAAGTTCTACTTCGTAAAAATTGTGCTCCTTTTGTTCTATACTTGCGAAAATCTTAAATTTTGTTTAAATTTTACTGTAGAGCATTTGACCTCATATGAGGCCAGGCTTGGCCTCATATGAGGCCGGGTTTTTTTTGCAAAAAAGTATACATTAAATCGAAATTTTATAAAATCAGTTTAGACACCATTTCTTTAACCAATATTCCCTCGGCAATAGCCTCCTGCAAAACATCGGGATACTGTAGCAGTTATGAATACACAGAAATACTAAGAATCTAATATAGTTTCAACAATCGGATGATATTTTAAACAGGCGTTTTGGTTTCGAAGATATCAACAAAAAACGTTTTGATGTTCTTTAAAAAAGCTTCTTCTTTAGGTATTCTCAAAAAGCCTGGAAAGAACGTGCAGATCTCACCAAGCTCCACCCTTCCACAGCGCAGAAGTCAACTGCGGTGGCGAGAGTATCTTTTCCATTTTGTTCAGCTAGCACAAGTCGAGAAAAATTAAGTTGAAAAGTGACCTCATATGAGGTCAAATGGCCTCATATGAGGCCATTTGTCACCTAGACACTAGTAACGCTTTCGGCTACAGGTCTTGTCGTGCAAACCCCGCTTATCGCGTGGCAGCTCGCTGTCCCTTGTACAGTCAAGGGAGGATTTTGTGAGCTGCCAAGAGGGGGTGGGCGTCTCTTCGCCCACGTTACAAAGAAAGACGAATCTTTTACTTTGCAATACCCTCTTTCTCTCCTTTCTTTTACAAGGGGGGGAGAGGGGTAAGGACAGATATATTCGCAAGCAGCGAGCGTCCAGACGGCGGCGCTAACCGCCGTCGGCTGGAACGCAAATCTAATAAAGGAATGAATTTTGGCCCGATTTTGACACGTGGCGTTCGGGGCGTGAGCGCGTGCTCGCGCTACTGTATATGGTGCATACCCATCTTGCGCGCTCCCTCTGCCGCAATGACTCTCTCTTTCTCTCCAGCCCCTTTTTCTTCCGCGGCTATCCAACGGCTCACAGCGAGCGTGCTACGACATGTTTCAAAGGTTTCCGCTCATTTGCTTTCCTGCGCTGAATATGCGATCAACCATATCAGTACAGGGGGACTCCTCAATAGTTCGCATTTGAATAGTTCGTTACGCCAATGGTTCGCTTTTCTGACGATGTCACGGCTTCTCAGACGTGTACACGTGTACCTACTCAGACCGGCGCGGCCACCAAAAAAAATCTGGAACTCTGAATCCCCCCCACTTGGTGCAACCAGGAACCGTCAGATTACTAAATCGCCAGTTTATGAGAAGTGTTCAAAAACCCCCAATTTTCCCAATTCACCACTCCGCCACTTCCCAGGCCTTGTTGTTTGTACCCTATCCATGCGTGTGTCTGGCTGCGGGGTAAACCCTACCGAGCGTGCCCACGCACTTCAATCCCACCACAATCTCTTTGCCCAAATGGCCACCATCCTCCCCACACCATCAGACGGCTCCAGGCCGACCATCCCTTCAGGCCAAGCTGCCCCTCACCAAGCTCAAGCAGTGGCCCAAGTCGCGACTGCCCTCGACACCGCCGGCAGCCCCTCGTCCGACACAATCGACCTCGTTTCCGGCCCTCCCCCGCCTCTCGCATCGTCAACCCCTCCTCTTCCTTTACCCTCTCAGCAGAATCCTGCGCCGAAGCCTGCTAAGCGAGGCTCTACGCAAACAAGGGCAGGTTCTTTGAACTATTCGAAAGAATATATTAAAATGCTGCTGGAGTTCGTTGGCGCAGTAGAACCACTAGGTGCAAATCATGGGGCTATAGTAGCGGACCGCTACGCTACGTGGGCTGTAGAAAACGATCGACCTCCAAGAAACCATGACTCAACTAAGAACAAGTTCGACAAATTGGCAAACGCAAATAAAAAGACAGGCGACCCTTCATGCCCCTCACCGGTTCGCAAGGCCAAGCACGTAGCGCGTGCGATCCAGAACAAGTGCGCGGCACGTGTTCTAGGAGACACCGATGAGGAGGTTGAGGAAGATAGCTTGGCGGCGGGAGGGCATTGGGAAACTGAAGAAGCTGAGGGGGTTCACGTTATAGGAGCGCGTCAGAAGAAACGAAAGTAGGAGCTACAGGGACCACAGCGACATCAACACCGCTGTCGCACAACTCTACCAGCACCGACAAACAGTTCTTAGGCCAGTTTGAGAAGATGACAGACCACATGGGAAGCAATTCTAGATCTCTGTTTGATGGGGCAGGTGAGGCTGGGGACGCCATGAGCCACGAAGACATCAAGAAGGCCGTGAAGGAGGAGGTCCGTGAAAGCCTGCTACCCACGAATGAGCTGCTGCGGGAGATGTCGGACATGATAAAAAATCTTTCGCAGGATAGAAACAAGGTCACGCCTACGGCGCCTATCGACGAGTGACAGGAAAAGTGAGATGGGTGAGTGGGCAGGGGGGAATGCAGTAGCAGGCGGCTGCTGGGATTGCTGCTGCAGCTGGAAGAATTGCTAGGAGGGGGAAAATCGGAAGCATGAGTGCGGTTCGTTGCGCTTTCTGCTGTTGCTGGTTGTTTGTCTTGTTCCTGCCTTTTTCGTGCACAGCCCTACGCAGACCTAGCCGGATGAGGTCATTGAAATAGTTATATCGATGATTTGCAGCCAAGCCAGCGAGGCGTTCGGTCCCTTGCTCCATGTACAGTAACAGCCTGTACCCACACGGAACGTATGGGCCATGGGATTGGCGAATACGGAGTGAATTAGGCTTTATTCGTTCTGTTGTCGAGCGTACTTGGTTCTAATCTCATTTAGACCAACAAAACCGGTACGAAAGTTAAGAAGATGGCAACATAGCGTTAGTAAACGAAGTCGGGTTGTTGAATCTGCAGGGAGGGGGACTTTCAATCTCGAGAATGGCCCTTTTAACGTGCGAATACCCCATTCAGCCGTTTGGCGCTCACTCGGCATGACCCTTTGTAGGATAATATCTACAGCAGCAAGGGAATTAGAGCACGGGATGTCGTGCGTCTTGTTGCTCTTACGGCCCCTTAGAATCTTTCCATTCGTAACACGGACATTATTAACGAATGCGCTGTCTCCCAGAAGCGCCATTCCAGGTTTAGTAAACTCATCCGAAAGCTTGGGATAATACAACCCAGAAACCGCTGCCAATTTGGTATCATGCTAGCTACCGGGGTAGTTTACCGCAGCATGGATCAACTCCCGGAAAAAGTTGAAGACGAAAAGGTTTGTGACTTCGACAGCCTGGGTGTATCCCTCAAAGTAGGCATTTTGCAAGTTTGCGTTTGTAAAGTCCGCACAGGCCATTCGTCCTCCATCTGTCACGGCAAAAACGCCCTGTAACAGCGGCTCATTGATTCTGTTATTTTCCAAGGGTGCTGCCGACGCTTTCTGATCGTCGTGAGTAGGCCAGCGGATCTCGAACTCCTTCTTACGCTTTACCACACGCAAGAGAACTTCTAAACTGTAGTCCATCCACACACCGATGCTGCTCCCTACGATTCCGAAAATTGGGCACAGACTGTACATCGTACCCGTAGTCTTCAAGCACCAAAGGGCCATTCCAAGAAGATCTACAGTATCCAGTAAAGGCTTTCGCCCTGTTGTTTTCGGTCCTTGTCTATACGGGCTTCCAAAATTAAACCGACTGCGCTCGGTTGCCAAGTACGGCAGAATGTTCTCCAGAACGAGCGCCTTGGTGAAGTTTGTACTCACCAAAAAGTCAACATCCAATCCGCAGGACAGCATCTGGTTCCATGGGGTAGCCTTCTGATGACGTAGCGGGCGCAGCAGGGCGGCGCGGCGATATTTCGGGGGTGGCCGTGCGCGCCTCGCTTTTTGACGACCTTGACAGCGGAATCGCCAACGGATTATCTGCCACAACCCCCATGCAGCTGCAAAACCAGCTACACATGATGCAACAGCAGCCGCTCGAGCCCGACGGTGAGAGCTCAAGGTCGCCATGGTGAGTTTTGCTGCGCGCACTGCGGCTTTGCGGCAGCTTTCCCATCTGCCGAGTGCCCTACTTTGGCCGGTTTATGACCTATTCCCAGAATTGGTTGGCAAGTGGCGAACTGGATCGACCCCTGCGGGGCCGACCCAGATGATGAAATCTGGCCGGCGCGCGCCATATTTTGAGGCCTGTGATTGGCCTAAATGTAGCGAAGTGGCGAAGTGGTCATTTCTGCTTGCACCCACTGTCCTCCCTTAAATTGTTCATGTGGGAATACAGAAATTGAAGTTTATTTGTTTAGCCCTAAATCTGGGAAAAAAGGGAAATTATCCGCGCGAAGCGGCGGCGGGAAATCCGGCGAGATAAAAGTCCGAGGGTGGTATCTCGACCGACCCTCGGGGGTAGCTTGCTACCCTCTTACAGCGCCTGCGAAAAGTCGCGAGACTCTTCGTCCGAAGTATCCCCGTCCCCCTCACTCTCGCCACTCCTTTCTCCCGCCACTGCCCGCGAAGATCGCGGCTACTACTAACCTCATCGTTCCCGTTCTCCCACAGTTATGGGCCCAGGGGAAAGATGAGCAAACTATCAGGATTCTTCGATCCGCCCCTGTTCGCCGCCGATGGCGATCTAGAAGCCTGGCGCAAAAAGGTTGGACAGTGGGTCGACTCACTCGAAGTCGCCCACGATCAAGGCACGGATCGCACTTTTCAGACGATGTTCAAGCTTCTGGGACGCACGCTCTATGAGCGCGGGCTCCCAGAAGCTCAGAAGGCGATTGTCGATGAAGCCCAGTCTAAAGCACAGCTCGACTATCTTCAGATGGATGATCCCGGGCAAGCGGCACTGTTTATAGTCGAGCTTGTCGCTATAAATCCACCGATCTCCATGGTCACAAGGCTCATCGCATCATACCAGAAGGTTACATCGTGTCGCCGAGACAGAAACGAGAAGCTCTCCAGTTTCGTTTCAAGGTTCCGAAGTTTGGCAGCCAAGCACTTGCTGCACGCCAGCACTTCTTCTTCTTCGCAGATAGGTGAAGTTTTGGCCATTTTCCTCCTCAACAACGCCAACATAGAGGAAGAGACCTTAACCAACGCCAAGCCCCAACTAATCTCTCATGGAGAAGCCCGGAACAAGGAGGAGTCGGCAGTCGGCGACACCGGAAAGGGTATCCAAGGTGCATCTCGAGGAAGTTCTCAAGATATCTGAGAAGCTTAAGAAGGTTGACGTTCCACTCCGTGAGTCCGAGTCTACGGCCGATGAGTACAAGAAGGCCCTGTCCGATTTCCGATCGCAAACCATCAGTTTCATCCGCTCCTTGGACATTGCAGTCCAAGACCTAAAGGTGACTGCAGAGAAGAATGCTGCCAAAACGTCAGTCGCTGACTTGTTCCTGCCGCGGCACACTTCTTGCAGGCTCAACCTTGACGACGCGGTGATCGTGCTCAGAAATCTGACCCAAACAACCTCAATGGATGCTCCCCAATTCTCTATGAAGAACGTTCAAGCTTTGGTTGACCGCAAAGTTAAGTCCCTCATTGATACCCATGGCAAGACTGGCTCAGGAAGCATTTTTGACAGGCTATCTGAGGTCGGCCCACGTCATGGGCAGAAGAAGGACATTCGAACGGGTCCACCCTCTAGCCGTGGAAACGCACCTTGAGGCAGTCGCAAGGGGCAGCTGTCTTCAGACCACGAAACCCAGTCCATTTTCTATGACTGCGGGGAGCGTGGTCACTACAGAGGAGAAACAGAGTGCAAGGAACCCAGCGCCTTCACCATGAAAAAGAGGACGCGCCGGGACCTCGGTGACGGGAGCTCTGGAGCGCACCCCTCGTTTTTTCGGAGAGGCTCCGGCGGCTCGTCAAACAGGCAAGCCTAGTCAGCCACCCGGAGCCACCTCCGATATTAATCCGAGAATTCCGGATCCAAATCCCATTATAGATCCGGGATGTCCCGGAAGTGTTGGAGGAATTGCTTGCGCCGCAGCCCTCTGCACTGCCATTAACATTCCTTTCAAACTTCGACGACTGGACTGTGAACCGTTCTTGCACGGATATGGCAAAAGCTGTAGCGACGCCGAGGTCACTATTGGGGTTTGGGACCTCCCCGTGGCCGACATGAGTGGGACGGAGGCAGAAATTCCGTTCTACGTCACGAGAGGAGATGGGTTCCTGTTTCTGGGTGACGAGATCCTTCACCGGTCTTACCAGCTTGGACCAGAGAACCTTTTGGTTATTCCGAAAGGCGTGAGAAACCTCTCGTCAAAACGTCTCACGTTCAAGACGTACACCGAACCGACAATGTCGAGTGACCCAGATACGGTTCGCACATTCCTTCCAGTCGTACCGTCCAAATTTTGGACTCCAAAACGTCCTCCTTTGTGACGTTCTTCTCCACCGAAGTCTCTATGCGTCCAGCATCCCACCAGCAGTAACCATGAAGGCAAGGTTTCGATATGGCAGAATCGCCAGTCGTTTCGCCAACAAGCTTCATGGATATTCAAACCTTGCTTTTCAAGAAATGGTGACGCTGTGCCGTCGAGGAGGTGTGATGACTCCTGTGCTACAACAAGCACTTCAGAGAGCCGTAGAGAAGTGCACTAGCTGCAAGGAAAAAGGCCGCCCGCTCCAATCGCGGAGGATATCCTTTGGGAAAATACTCACCTCGTTCAACAACCATGTCCAACTTGACTTCTTTTTCTGTGCGGAGTTTGAGGAAGCCCCCATCTTGCACATGGTGGATTTCCATACGGGGTATTCAGTAACATCCCTGATGCGGACCCGTGAGATGGACGAAGCAGCTCGGCAGTTGGAAGTCGCATGGATAAACTTTCACGGTGCACCGTCAATTATATCGGAAGACATCGAGTTCTTCAACTCCCGTTTTTCCGACGCCCTAAGGTATCTCGCAATACGTTTTGAACCCTGTCCAGCCCGACGTCATAACAAACTCGGAGTTGTGGAAAGGAAGAATGCCGTTGTCCGTGTGCTGATCCAACGTCTGCTGAAGCATGCGTCAAACTCTTCGGCGTGTGTTGTCGACTCGGTCAAAAGGAAAGACGTGGTCTCACGTGCCGTGTTCCTCAGCAACATTCTATACGAAAGCAAGACACTAAGCAGCTTCGAGATGACTCGGGGTTACCCTCCGTCGCTTGTTGGTCTTCCCCAAGCAAAGCTGGGTGCTGATCTTATCACTGCGCATAACGAGCAAGTGGCACGAAGAGCTTTGAGGCTTCTCGATAGGTCCCGATCTCTACAAGTGGTTCAGGCTGACCAGCTATCACGTGGTGACCCCGTGTATTACTTCAAGCGAGGTCCCAAGTTTGGATCGTGGGAACACCCCTACGTGCGCAACCCAAAGTCTCACTTCGTTGTCCTTTCAAGGCGACAAGACCATATTGGCAAGCCTATAAGGGCGGTATATGAGGATGTCCGGAAAGCCCCGTCCGCTCCCCTACTGGCTGAGTTGGATGGCATGGACTTCGTATTCCCGCGGTCATACTCCGTCATTGATGAGAACTTTGAAGAAGGCATGTTCCCTCCAACATCGGCACCTCCCCCGCTCTTCTCGGAGTTAGAAGATGTGCGGAATTTGGATGACGTGTTGCCACCAAACAGACTGGAAGCTTCTGCAAGCCGGGGAGAAGCAGCAAATCAAGCCAGCCCCCCCGACTTGGAGCCCCCCGGCGATCCGAAGGACATCTCTGAGTTCAGGGAAGAAGAGGCGCTGTGGGCGACCCACCCGACATCAAGGAGCTTACTAGCATCCTCGAAGCCGACGAGGTTGAACAACCCTCCACTCGACGTCAATCCAAAGTCCGTCAATCGCTGCAACTCCTTGTTTGGAACACGGATCCAGTCTCACCTCCAACCAGGAGTCTCGATTTAAACTCAACACACGAGCCTCCACAGCCGGAGAAAGACATAAGAAACGCTGCAGTTCTAGCTCCTTCGAATCTGCATTTCCACCTTGCATCGTCGAAGCAAAAGGTCCTTCAACAAATTCAAGAGGTAGTTGGGAATAAGCCCACCTCTGAATTCAAACTCCGATTTGCTCCGCGAGGGATCGTCGACCAGGCCGTAGCATAAACACCCACAGCGAGAGGGGTGTATGCACAGTTCGACCGAGACCCCGTCCGATCCGGAAGACGGGGATGAAGCAGGACACTAGCTAACGGCACCGGGCAGCGAGCCCGAGTAGCGTGGTAGAGCGGGAACGGGGAGGACGCCTGTACGCGCGAGCGGTTCGACGCCTCGACGCCCCGGCGCGGTACTTGGTAACGATCCAGTACCGATGGGCGGAGGCGGAGCCGGCTCGTGGGCGTACCGCGTGCGTCCTCAACCCGCGCTCGGTGCCGCCTCTAAGGTAATTAGCGAGCGTCACCTTAGAATAAGCGAGAAGTCGGACCTTGACGGTCGGTGGGTGACAAGTCCGTGCTTGTCCCCCTCCACCGCCGCCGGTCCGCTCCATATTTAATATACAAAACAATCTATCATAACCCTACAGTACCTCGGTACTG